CCTCTTAACTAAAGACCTGAGGGGTGGGGCCATTCTGAGCACAAGACTTGGTGGAGCTGCAGAACCTCACACACTCATACTTCCCATGCCTATGGAGACCCACTGGCACTCTACACTGACCTCCCCTGGTTTGGAAACTTCTCTAATTCAACATAGGTCAGGCCCCAAGGGTGCCAGACTAAAGAGGATCAATCTGCATTACACAATATTTCAACTTTCCTATTACAGTGTCTAGCTATCCTTACAGTACAATATCCAAGGATTTCAATGTTATCTGTATAGTTTACTTGATCCTTAAAAAAAGTCATTTTTGTGTTTATCTGTTCACAATGGTGACCAGGCAGACAGAACTTGATAAGTAAAAATTTGTACTAGCTATGGGCTTCTTCCCTCCCTTCATTTCCCACCAATGATACCCTGAATTATCACTTTGTCTGACCATAAAATGAGAATCTCATGATACTTACAATGCTAAAAAGAGTCTAAACACCTAAGAGCTTGTCTACAGGGAGAAAAGGCTCAAAATTGCAATTGCACACAAGTGTGTACTGTGTATACTGTTGCTCTGCACTAAGAGGGCATGTCTACACTAGGAAATTATTCAAAATAATAACTCCCAAAATAACTATTTTGAAATAGGGCATCCACGCTATAGGGAAGCCTCAAGGCAGGCTCCCTTAATGCGGGCATGCTACCTCAACTTAGATCACCAGGAAGCACTGGGGAGTAATTAATTTGAATGATGCTGGGAAGTAGTTATTTGGAAATCTACGCTACTGCTATTTCGAAATAACTATTGCAAAATAAAGTGTTATTCCTCCCATTACACATACTGATGCCTGCTGAAGTACTCCCAAGACTTTTCGTACTGTAAAGCAGTTGTAACCAGACATTGTTGTGTTTTGCACAGCCTGAAAACTAAGGCTGGACAAAAATTTGGCCCTTACTGCTAGCACACAGTGAGACTAGGCCTTGTTTTTTGAAGGTTTGTTTGAAAGACTCAAGATGCAGTAAAACCCATAGAATAACTATTCCACCTGGGGAAACTGAAGAAACTTGGATAAATCTGAGGACAAAGGTCACATTAGTATATGGTGCAGAGGGCACAACCACTGCTTGCTGCTGGGGTTGGATAGGGACACAACCAAACCCTTCTGGAGCTGAGGACACAGTGATTTGAACCACGGGATAAGGATGTGGGGGGCTCTAACATGGTGTTGAGGTACAGGATTTCAGGCATGGATAGGGGGTTGAGGGCCCATCAGTGAAAAGGTGTGAGGAGGGTGCAGGAAGTTCAACCACAGGGAGAGACTGAAAAATGTTCAACTATGATGAGAAAGCATAGGAGGGGCTGTACCATGGGGACAGGGCACCAGGGGACTTAACCATGGAGAGGCAGTGTTGAAAGTTCAGCCACAGGGAGGGAACATGGGGAGCTGGATTATGGGAAGGAACCCTGGCGGGTGATGGGGTAGGGGGACTGAATGATGGGAAGGCGCTGTTGGGAGCTTGGCCATGTTGAAGGGGTGCAGGGCATTCAGCCATGGGGAGCAGGCTCAACTACTGGCAGGAGGCCCAGAGGGACTGAGCCATGGGGCGGGGTAAATGGGGGCTGGATCATGAGCAGGAGGTACTGGGGGGCTGGACCAGGGAAGACTGAGTTGGGGGCTTGGCTGTGAGAACGGGGTTTCAGGGGACTCATCCATGAGGAGCAGGCTCAGCTATTGGGAGGGACAGTGGAGGGCTGGACTATGGAGAGGAGACATGGGGGGCTCGGCCACAGGGACAGACGCACAGGGGGTGGTTCGGGGGCTGGATCATGAGCAGGAGGTACTGGGGGGCTGGACCAGGGAAGACTGAGTTGGGGGCTTGGCTGTGAGAACGGGGTTTCAGGGGACTCATCCATGAGGAGCAGGCTCAGCTATTGGGAGGGACAGTGGAGGGCTGGACTATGGAGAGGAGACATGGGGGGCTCGGCCACAGGGACAGACGCACAGGGGGTGGTTCAACCATGAGGAGCAGGCTCAGCCATTGGGAGGGAGTATGGGGGGCTGGAGCACGGGGGCGGTGCTGGGGGACTCGGCCATGGGGGCGGGGCGTGGACC